CGATTGCTGCTATGATCGCCGTGTGTTTGGCGGGTGTGTGTTACATAACGTTAGTAGAATCCCGATAGAAAAAAAAAATCGATAAAAGCGTCCGACGGGAGAAAATCATCACGATAAATCAATCCGCGCGATCGATCTACGCGGGATAAACGATAATTACTATCGATARTATAAGCACCGACGACGTTCCGCGGTGTGACACTCTGTGATATTATAACATAATTTATAATTGTAAACTTGCAACCACCCGTGACCGCGTATGCGGTGCAAAAACTTACTCCACTCAAACTTTACGCGCGTCTAAAATTGTCATCGGGTTTCTGACGTGTCCATATCATTTCGTTCAGTAACCACCTTCCGATAAAATGACTCATYATCCTTTATTGGTGCTTAAAAAATTATATGTGTATATAATTATGCATATTTATTTTAACTGGTTTATATACCAGGTGGTTACTCCGTGTGAGTAAACTAATTGGTACCGGAAGCCACGTGTGTGGGGAAAAATCACCCGGCGGTCGAACTAAAGTTGCACCTAATATTTTATTACAATTATTTCATATTTTAATTTAATTTTTAATGCTTTGGTGAAAAAGTCGAAAAATTTAATTTTTTATTTAATTATTACCAAAAAAATTGACTATGGCCATTTTGTAGAGTTTATTTTTCTGAAAATAATGATGTTTCAACATTTTATTTTCATTGATTTCCTGATTTTTAATTTTTTTTTTAGTTTCAAGAAAATTGTGAATTATTGAACACCATATAGTGTTATCAAACATGTGACCTGCCGCGCCGCGCACGTACGGCCGGCCGAACACTTTTTCAGTGTGCCTAGTTATAATCATATTTCATTTTTTCAAAACCAGAAAAATGATTAAAAATCAAGAAATTAATGCGTGATCCTCATTATTTAGTGAGATGTYGCAATGGGTAAATCCTCGCGGGACACCCTGTATTTCATAGATACCTATCATGTTTATGTCGGGATAAGTTTTCACCCCGAGCGATTTAACAAAAGTGGTACAAGAAACCAMGCGAGGGGTCATAATATAGGGTCATACATCATCCGCGGCAGGTGATGCGAATTGTATGGATCTATAATAATTTGGTACACACCGGATACGATTTTCTCTTGCTGGTGCACTTGACCCATGCGTATCATTTGTAGGAGCCTAAAATGCCCAAAAATGAACCAACTGCTGCGACACCTGCAGCAGCAGCGCGAATAAGACAAATATTCAACCACTTTTTAAAAATAAAAGTACATGGTTTTAAGAATAGCAGTGTCRCATGTATGCATAACAAAATTATAAAATATTAAAATAGCGATTACATACGAAGCTGAAGTCAATCAAGCCGAGTCAACAAAATTACAACGACTATAAATACATATAAGGCGGCGTCTGCGACGGGAACGGGACATTTGATTCATTTCGCTTATTGTCGTAGCTATAATGACCAGTATACTTGTATTACGTTTCTCTTTATTATTTGTTTTTGATATATTTTATAATATTTAATTCATTTTTTTTTTTTAACCTATTAGTGTTACTTGTTTTTCCTTACACTTATTTTAGAGTTTTATTACTTGTGCGCACGGAGACGTTTGTGGCGAATAACACTTTTGGAAAAGGTAGTAATAGACACTGTCGTATATTTTACTTTCTCGTTCAGTATTCGTTATCGTGGTCAGTCGAGAAAGAGTAAGACTTTGCCTAGGTCAAAGATATCTCACCCCCGAACATCCGGTTCTCGTTATGGCGGTCACTAAAAGGAGAACTTAAATAAACTCATACAGCAGGTATCATCAATAATTTACTCGTTTGACGGTTTGGGAATCGGAAACCGAAATATATCTGTTATATTATACGTCAAACATTTGCGTGGCGTATAATATACGGCAGCAGTGTTTCTGTAATTCTGTACAAAAATTGATTTTGCTAAAGTGTCATAATGTAACGCGTATAATATTTAAGTGCATTCAAAGTATATGTCATAAATTCAATTCTTATTTTTCGAGAGGTTTTTGGAGATTTTTGTATGCTCTTCCTATTTATCCCACTTTGCGACAAAGATAATATAATTATACGTTATAGTCGTCAATGACGCGATACCTATTATTTTATTATAATGTAATTTAATAACAAACCTATTACTGTTTATATTAAACGTTCAAGGTTCAAACAACGTAACAGTCGACGACATAAATTTTCTAGCTTTGACGTTTGTAAACAGTATAAAGTGCACCACTCCGGATATCGAACGACGTTTATCGTATGGACACTTTGTACGTAATTAACGAACAAATCGAACAAAATAAAACTTTTACCTTAATTATTTCACAAAAAAGTTATATTATATTAATATATTATGACGTTTTACTATTTATTATATTTAATTAACCATCGACTTTATGACGATATAATTATTGTTGAGTTGCGGATTATATTTTAATCGCCTCGTTTTTTTTTTTTTTTACAAGAAATGCATATTTATACATTTTTTTAATGCTCGTTTTTATAGACTCGCGATCGTAGCGTAAACGGCATACATTCGACTTTTCTTATGTGCTATAATATATTCATTCGGTGGAGCTCAACACTGTCTGATGGGACGAGTTTCTTATAGCTGACGTTCAGTTATTGTACATATTTTTATATCATCGAGGGTGAATCATAATTATTATCGAGTTTTTGATTAAATACATCGTTATTAATCGTTTGTGCTTCGTGAGCAATAACCAATTACATCTATTTTCCTAAGTATAAAAACAACGGTAGTTGTTCCATGACGATGAATGTATTATTATTTAMATTTTTTAGTTTTATGTATTCTAGCTCGTTTTAGACGCCAAAGCCATGATGGCTGCACGTGGGATCACTATTCACTGCTGGGATACCYATACCTGGTAGTATAATATTGCTTTGAAAACTAATCCCTACTAGTACAGGTATTGATTTGARAACTAAAACCACTGTTGTCATATTTAAGGGAGCATTAATTATTCTATATCAATATTTATTATATTTTACCACAAAGTTTATTATTTATTTAATTGATTAATCATTTTTGGCATGTACCTACTACTCATATATTATGCATATTTTTAAGCTATTTTTTAATACTTCATTTTTGGTGCATATATTTTATTATTATTTGTGTGTAAGCGATTAAGCCGCAATGATTTAGCTATAATTGATCGATGATGAAATTGAAAAAAAACACCTAACTATATATCAATTATTACAATATTGATAATCAAAGCATCGGTTAGGTAGATAGTACACTAGTACAAATTATTACATAGCTATTATTGTTTCATGACTGTAAATCTATAATGATATTTTCGTCTGTTAAGATATCAAAAGTCACGTATATTGTGACTTTTAGATTCTGAACGAAGTGATGAATGTATTGATTTTACAATGATGTGTGTTTTTT